AATACTGTTTGGAAAGAGCGAAAGTTATTGAGAGAAAAGAAAAGAAAGGGAAAGCAGATATGGCGATGAGAGGAAGAAGGCCGAGTAGTTTCAGGACGCAGCCTGCTCTTCGTCCTGTGTATCTAGATTTCAAGCCTAAGTCAGACATGACAGAAAATCCCGAAGCTCACGTTCTGCATATTCAGCTTCCTGGTACATCTCTATATATTCCTTTCTTCTGTCTATCTTGATATTTCCTCTCCCAAGAATATCTTCTTAATTTGTCGGGTCTGGATCCTCCCTCATTCCATTTTTCCTTTTTTTCTTCTCATCCCATCTCCACTTTTAGATAACAAAATGAATGGTTCATATTTAATTGTTTTATGAGACAATTATTATCATAAGACAAAATGATAGAAAAATCTATTTAAATTACGTGAATAATATATTAGTCTTATAAAATGGCATAATTTTTTTGGAGTTTTAAGGAATGTTTTTATCATTAGAAAATTATAAGAAATGATACTTCTGCCCTTTTATTCATATTAAAAAAATGTATAACTTTTTATTCACAATTTTTTTCATATATTAATAATTTTTGTTTCTAAATTGTAACAATTTAATAGTTATTCATAATTTTTTATTTTCATGTCTTGATATGCATTAGGTGTTAAAAATTCGTAACTTTTTTATTCACAGCTTTTGTTCCTATATTAATAATTTTTATTTTTAAATTCACATTAATTCAATAATCATTCATAACTCCGCATTTGCAAGTTTTGATATATATTAGGTGTTGAAAATTTGTAATTTTTGTTCATATATTAACAATTTTTATTCTAAATTCACAATAATTCAATAGTCATTTGTAACTACACATATGCAGGTCCTGATGTGCATATCGGGTGTTGAAAATTCACAACTTTTCATTCAAAACTTTTTTTAAATATTAACAATTTTTATTTCTAAATTTGCAATAATTCAATAGTCATTTGCAACTTTAAGAATTTTTGTTTTATTTGAGGGTAATTTGGTTATTTTCTTTAATTCCCTAATGACAATAAAATTTCATGGGATTCCAAGGAAATTATGCTATTCGTTGGGACCAATCTATCATTTACATTATTTAAATTAATTTTTCTATCATTTTTTCTTATCATAATATCATACAAAAATAAATAAATTTAAATTGTTGAAATTTGACCCACACAGTCGTTATATACTGCTGTTAAAAAATTTTATAAATTAATTTTATTTTAGTTATGGACCGTGGCAAGTGAAATTTTAATAGTTTAAATTTATTTGTCTTTTTTTTATTATAATGTTTTTATAAAACAGTTCAGTATGAAACCATTCATTTTTTGTTTAAAAATGGAGATGAGATGAAGAAAAGAAAAGGAGAGAAAGGGATGAGAAGAGGATGTGCCAGTTGAAGGACTTTCTTAATGTGATTTCTTTTAGAGAATCATAGCAAAGTACCCAAGGATTAAATTAATAATACTTAGGTTTCTAATAAAATGTTTTAAAGAATTAGTTACAATTATCAATTCAAATAGTTGTACACAAGAATCATAGAAAATTATTATATTAATTTATTCTTCTAGGACTTAATTATCATTATCTTACATTTTTCTTTTATTTACAAGGCTTGAATCTTAGATTAATCAACATTATTTACAGAAAATCAAGTTAACTACCTTTTTTACCGATACAAATTTTAACCATCTTTTAGATTTTGTAAAAGATGTCTTTAACAAAGATAATAAGGTAAAATGATAACTTTATCCTTATAGTATAATATGCTCCCTTCGGTCAAATATAAGAACGTTAACCATAAAGTCTTACAAGAAAAAAAAAAAAGTTTAACTGAAGAGTCTACGTTCTTGTATTTGACGAAAGGGCAAATATTGTAACATTTTTAAATGTTAAAGAGCAAAATTGTATTAAAAAAAAGATTTAAGGTCTTAAATGCTCTTAGACACCCAATTACCCAAGTTAATATATTGTCTCCCTCCAGTCAAAAAAGTAAACAACTTTGAATAATAATCTACATTACCAATAAAATCCTTGTTTCCAAGGGAATATATACTACTTTCATCCTCAATTATAAAATATTTTTTTAAAATTCAACATTTTAAAATATAAGATAATTTAAGAATATTAAAGTTTTATTAAATAAACTTATTTCAATATTATCTCCTTTTTATTTAATTTTCATCCTTCTCTCTTTTTATTATATTAAATGAAGGGTCTCATAAAAAAAATATTAATAAATGGTATTTTTAAAATTTTATATTTTTATTTTGAAAAAAATAAAATTTTTAATTGTATTTAATAAATTTATTGATATAAAAAAAGTTCATAAATTTTTACATATAATAATCTAGATTAATAAATATAGGATAAAAAATAAAAAAATACTTTTAAAAATACTGAATTTTTTATATTTTAGATCAAGATTAATTAAAAAATATTTATACTTTATACCAGATGAAGTATTATATCATATGTGCATGCTTGTTTTTTCTACGGGAATCAGAATTCCTATCAAAGCCACATGGAATAGATGCTGATTCTTGGGATCCACAAAGAAGGAATTAAAATTATAGGAGATTCAAATCCGGCTATCCACTTATGTTTCTCCCATGCTTCTTTCTGAAGGCTTCACAAAGGAACGCATAAGGGTTCAATTTGATGACTCATCTAGAATGATGAAAGTTCAGGGGGAAAGACCTATTGAAGGTGGCAACAGAAGGAGCCGCTTCAGAGAAGCATACTCGGTTCCTCAAAATTGCATTACACACAAAATTCAGAGCAACTTTTTTCAGGGAATCCTCACCATTATAATGCCAAAGATGACCATTTCACAAGCAGAAGTGAAACCCACCCAAGAACAAGAAGCACCAGAAGGGCCCCAAAAAGCTGAACAAGTCATCATTCCTCCATCAAAATCTGCAACACAACAACAACAGAAACCAAGAGATAATGAGAAAACTGCTTCTTCATCATCAATCTCTGGTGCAGACTTGAAGGCACAGAAGAGTCAGGAAGAGACTCCTCAGAGACCTGTTGTTGATAGCCAGAAGACAGGGAAGGAATTAACTATGGCAATAGCAGCAGCAGCACCAGAAAAGAAACCAGATGGTATGACTCAAAAGATTCGAGAGGAAACTGAGACAAAACCCACTATAAAATTGGATGAAGGAAAAGTAGAAGATGAAAAGTTTCAAAAGGTTCAACGGGAAATTGAGCCAAAACCCAAATTAGTGATGTCTCCCAGAAATAATACAGCGGATGAAAAGCCTCAGAAGAAGGGTCAAGAGGACACTGAGCCAAAAGCCACATCAGAAATGGTTCCCGGAAAGCCATTGAATGAAAAACTAGAGACAAGTCAAGAGGGAACAAATCAAAGTGCCACATTAACATCAGTTTCTGGAAACCAATCAGGTAAGAAGACAGGGGAAAAGAAGGGTGAGGATACTGAGAAAGAAGGGATCTCAAACAAAGAAATTATAGAAGAAGGGAAGCCTTCTCAGTCAATAAAGGCTGGGAATGGTGCGAAGGAGAAGAGTATGGTGACAGAGAAAGAAATCAGAGAGAGAAGAGAGTTACCCAAAACAGATGGACCTGTTCCAAAAATTCCACAGGAGGAACGGAACCTCAATGATCATATGATTGATGCAATTGGGAAGGGAATCAAAGACGTTACCAGTTCTGCTTCCCAGGCTTTCACAAGAATTGCAGGAGGGAAATGGGATGATGAAGACAAGTCCTTACTTTTGAACATGGGTGCCTCAATTCTAGTGCTTGCAGCTGTGGGAATCTATGCACTTTATAGGTTCTCTTCATAGAGAACCTAGATCTAGTTCTATGCTCAAATGCTTATTCATAATACTGTGTTAACGCAAAAGCAACTCATCATCTACAGAACAACAATTGTCAATTATGTTCTAAGTCTTTAGCCTGAAATACAATATTCTACTAACAAATCCATAGCCCAAATTCATGGTAAGGCATAATGCTTCCATCCACAAAAGGATCTTCAAAAAACAGGGCCTATACATACAAATAAAGCACTTTGTTGATTAAAAACATTATTATAAATCGGAGGCATAATGCTTACTTGGCTATAATGTAGGAGAAAAAAAATTGTTTTCATTTTTATTTGGTTAAAGTATACATTTAGTCTTTTAACTTTACACAATATTTTACTTTAGTCCTTTAACTTTATAAAACATCATTTTAGTCGTTTGACCCTCACACTATTAGTTTTATTCCAACAAATTTTTACATTAAACTTTCAAATATTGACAAAATATTATCAAATGTTGACATATTGGGTTTAATTTTTTCAAAATAACAATGATTGACATAAAAAATAATCATTTGAAATTAAATATGTTAGAATTAAAGGACTAAAAAGATATTTACAAGATTAAATAACCAAATTGAAACCTTATATAAAGTTAAAGGACTAAAAGTATACTTCAGCCTGTTTATTTTTCTCTTGTTTGACCAACACCAAAAACACTCTTAAAAGACAGAATATATGCAAATTTATTTAATTATTTAATTACTTGACTGCAAATATATATAAATTTGACGACAAGCCATATTCTATTAGATGGGTTAGCTACATGGCTTTTTTATTATCAATATCTATATGAGTTTCAACAGAGTATTATGTTTCCTACCAAGAGCCTAATACAATCCTCCTCCTTTATCTAGGCTTAATTACAATAAATAATCAACTAGTTCGAAAAGAAGAAAAATATGCCAACCTCCTAAGCATATAGATGCACAGATTGGTACAGCTCAAAATTCAATATAGGAGACGACACCAGGCAATAGTTCAAAGCTATATAGATTGACAGATGAAAGTCCATGAGTGCGTGTTTCCTTTTTTAGTAGATATACAAACGCATAGCAAATTAGCTGTCCACAAAAGTAATGCCTCCAAGTGATGCTTTTATATGGCTGTACAAGCTAGAGACAAGAAACAGAATTTGATTCCTCCTGTATCAACTCAAACAGATATTCATTTTTTATAAAAAGAAAAAAATAATAAGAAATGCCATTTGTTTACTAGTCGTGCACGGAAGGCTCAAACTTTCTAAGACAAATGAAGCCAAGAGTAGCTATCAGAAACAAAGCACCTCCCTATTGGTATGCAAAGCACATAAAGCATTTTAGTTAGCTTTCAAATGCTACATAAGAATATGGCTCATTGATGTGCAAAACCTATGCAATGGACCCCAATTTCTTGAGATATTTAAAATCTTATGGTCCCCTACCCACTTTAATCTCGAATTTACTGCTCCAGTAATATGCAGACTCCCATACTGATCCATTCAAGATGTATTGGCTTTTCAAGAGGAACTTCACATTGATTTGGCTCGGTTACATAGCTTGGAGTATCCCTGTACAGAGCCAGACACAAAACAGAGCTTACATCATGGAACAACCGCTTGATTCAAACCAACCCAAATGCATGTTTTGCTGCATCAAGGGTATTAGAGAGAAGCATTGATATTGTTACTGGTCCCAAACCTCCGGGCACCGGAGTAAGGGCTGATGCCACCTTGATTGCCTCCTCATAGCAAACATCTCCTATGGTACGAAAGCCTTCTTTGTCAGGATTCTGCAAGTTATATTAAGTACATGAAATGAATAGAAAGCCAAGGAAATTTATCTTATCTCTTCGTAGCAAGATTCTCTTTTTTCTTTTCTTTTCTTTTTGTTTTTTGTTTTGGTCCCTTTTTGTGATAACCATTGGGTTTTTTAACATTACAAGTGAATCTAAATTGCTCAAATGTCGGGCCCCAAATGGAGGATAGCTCTCTCATTATACTTTTATCTTTCCTTTTTTTTTTTTTTTGCGCTAACCATAATATTTAAAGTTTAAATCCTACTTAAAGAAGCATCGTCTCTCTTACTCAACCCAAAAGCACGTATTTCCCTCTTATAATTCTTCATCTTTCTTCTCTTTTGAAAGCCAGCAAGCAGAATTTTGGTCATGTTTGGCAAGTGTACCAGTTTTATATAACCTGAGGCCCCTTCAAGGCCTACGACTAATGGAAGTTCTCTTAGTTAACCTGTTCTATTTCCAGGTCCTTTCATTTTTTTTTTTCTTTTTCATTATGCCCTACTCCATTTTAGTTTATAGGGATGCTACCTTTTGTAGAAGTTAGAGCATAGTCAACTATCATAGCAACTCGAGATGAATTTTACTAAGCGAGCACTCGGTCAAGGAAAGGAGGACAGAAATTCTGAAGTTTTATTAACTATCCCTCATTTGTAATAAGGAACACTGTAGTTATTAAAAAAAGTGCTCAAATAAATAGTCAAATTACACATAAATGTTAGACTTATCCTCATTGTACATTATAACCGTATCTGAAACAACAACAAGAACAATCACGACAGTAAAAGAAAATGAACATTTGTAAAACCTAACATTAAACTGTGAAATTATAAGAACACAATAGAGGTAGGCATAGCCTACTCTCATGAAATTAAAACTTATACAAACACTTCTATAATTAAAAAAAAAATCTCCAGAGGAAGTAAAAGTTATGGTGAAAGAGAGAAATTAGAATCCAAGGCTTCCTTTTGGCTGTAATTACTTCCATTTGCATCAATTTTCTGTTCTTTTTTTTTTTTCAAGACAAATTTGATAATTGATTGGAAATAGCCTTGCAATCTGACAGTTATAAAACTGAAATTGTTAATGCCTTTTTGCTCATTTAGCCTACCTGAAATGACAGAAAGTTTGTACCTTCACTTGATTTGTACCCATGTCAATCACAACTGCTCCTTGCTTTAACCAATTGCCACGAATTATATTGGGCATTCCAACATCTGCTACAACAATTTCAGCTTCAGAAGTTATCCGTTCTGGGTTCTCCGTGAATGCATGTATCATGCTTACTGTTGCATGGTGCCTCTACTTCAAAGACAATAAATTAGCAATGTGGCTACAGGAACATTATGCTCAGCAACAACATATGTACTCACCTGCAATAGCAACGAAGTGGGTAACCCAGCAATTTTACTTCTTCCAATTACAACTGCTCTTTTTCCACCAATTTCAACCCCATGTCTGAGCAACAACTCAATGCAGCCCTTGGAGGCACAAGGAATGAAGAATGGTTTTCTTCCCCTCATGGCAAGGTTTCCTATATTTAAGGGATGAAAGCCATCAACATCCTTTTCTGGACTCACAAAGTTGATAACATTTTCCTCGTCCAAATGCTGCATATTAATTTCAAATAACCAAGTCAATAATAATGACATCCACATTGAACCAAATAATCCCATCAATTGTTATTATCAGAATTTTCATACTCAAAATTCCTATGAGAGGCCAAAACAACTTATTCACAGTACTAGAACTGATTTAGATCAAGCGAAGCCTCCGAGTGCTCTGAATCAGGGCTGTAGATTAATAAGCACAGTAAATTCGTAAACAGTAAAAATGGAATTCAAATTACTTGAGGAAGAGGAAGTTGCACAATGATGCCATGTACAGCTGGGTCTTTGTTAAAACTGGCGACGACATCAAGCAGTTCTTTTTCTTCACAGTTTTCAGGCAACAGAGCCACCGATGTTGCAATGCCAACTTGCTCACAGGCTTTTAACTTAATGTGGATGAAGGTCTGAGAATCTCTTCTATCACCAACAAGAACCACAGCCAATTTAGGGGACTTCCCAATTATCCTTTTAATTCTGCCTATTTCTTCAGCCACCTTTTGTTTTACATCTTGGGCAACTGATTTACCTCCAAGAATTGCAGCATTAGACTTCGCCTCTTTTGCATTACAAAAAACAAAAAACAAAACCCATTAACAAAGGAGACCAAAGCAGAGCTCTAAAGAACACAAGAACCACGGCAATATGCTCATCCTTTTGCACGACAACTAACCCCAAAGAAACCGCCCCCCCCCCCCCCAAAAAAAATAACTTAAGTGACCAAAACAGAGGATTACATGACAGTAGCGCAGTAATTTGATAAGTGGATACCTACAAACTCATAGTTGGGTTTCTCTGAGAAATGGGTATCAGAAGAAGTGTTCTTTTTGGGAACCCAAATATCAGGAAGGTCGGGGCCAAGAAGAGCACACGAAGATGGAAGAGACCAAGAATGAAACAGTGATTTTCTCAGGATTCTACGCCAACCCAGAGCAGCCCCAGAAGAGGCACGGGCTAGCATATTTGATGCTTTCCTTCGATTATTATTACAGGAAAAGATTATCTCGGGAATTAGGAGGTTGGGAAAGAAAGCCAGCCACTGAAGTGAAGAGCGCAACGATGGCAAGGTGGGCTAGCTTATTTGATTAAGCTTGATCCTACTTATCCGCCTGCGTTTGATGGACCGTCCTGAAAAGATAATATGGTTGAGAATTTGGACTTCGGATCCGAGCGAGTCAAATGCACCTGTCATACCCCACCATTTCCATGTCAAGTGCACAAGTTGTCCAGCAAAAAGGTTCATTTGAGAGATTTTTATTGTTCACTGATTCAACACTAAATATTTGCACCTTTTCAAGGCAGTTTATATTGATTTTTCACTTGCAAGCAGAGCATTTAAAAATGCAACCATCGTTACACTGAGGCATTTGTTCAAAAGTTGGTAGTTAAAATCATAACCTAATCATAATCAAACTGATCATAGAGAGTGGATTACTTTATTAAACTTACCAAGATACTAACCATATACTGATACTAAATTTCCATACTATGTTTGTAAGGAATTAAAATGCCAGCATTTTTTTGTTTAAAAAACTAACAATATTAGAATTAAAAATTGAAAAATATCTTATAAAATAAAAGCATCAAGCTGAATCCTTTACAAAGTTAGGTGAATAAAGGCACGTTTTTTACCTAATAGTTTTAATAATAAAATAATATAAATTAATTTTATTTTTAAAATTTACTTATTATATTATGTGTACTATGTACATGTTTAATACAAAATATTACAGAAAATTGTATTTTTTTTTTGGGAAAACATATCCATAGATTTTTACAAATTTACTCCATTTTGAATTAGGTCCCTATTGTTTACTTTATTTTAATTGAGCTCTTATAGTTTGATTAATTAATTTTTTTTAATTCCCAAAGGTTAAAATCATTAAAATTTTCTTTTAAACAAACAAAATTAAGAACTTTTATATTTTTATTGAATGATTATATGATTTTAGAATTAATTACATAATTTTTATAACTCAAAATTTATATAATTAGTTTGTTTTCTAAATATTTTTCATACCTATAGAACTTTCATAAAAAATTAATAAACATCTAAATAGTAAATTAAATCAAATTTTATTTTTTTAATTTGGGCTAAAAATATTAAATTAAATTTTTTGTAAATTCCAATAGTATTTTTGTTTTGTGAAATTTAATAATTCATTATTAATTTTAACTTTAAGGGTTAACATATATAATAGATCAAAATATAAAATCTTGATTAAAACAAAATAAAATATAAGGACCTCATTTAAAATTGAGCAAAAATATAAGGACCTTCATATTAACTTTTTCTTACTTATTATGATTACAGTACTTTTTCTCAAAAGAGGATTGTTTTACTAATTTAAAAAGGACGGACTATAATAATAATTTAATTAAAATAATTAAATCAATTTTAATTGATTTTTATTTTATATTTTAATTAAAATAGTTATTGATTTTAATTCAAAAAATCTTTTTTATTTGAAAATAATTATTCGATTAAAAAACTTAAATATAATTAAATTTAAAACATTTTTAGGCTAACAAGATAAAAATCTTAAAATAAAAAATTACTCCCATTTACTGATAATAACAAAATAAACATATAAAAATCTTAAATGCATCAATATAATTTATACGGGCAACAAAATAAAAACTTAAAAAAAAACACCCCCAAACACACAGAGGCAGGGGAAGCAAAGGTGATAAGAAATATTTTAAGACTTATTTCATTTTGTTTGCAAAAAAAAACATGAAAATTAATTTTTTTATGTAAAAAATTGTTAAAAGTTAATTCCCAAAAGAAACCTTCCTGTAGTTTTTCTTATGAAGAAAACTAAAGAAGTTCAACTGTGCGAGCCAAACAAAGGAATTTTGCCTTTATTTCTGAAACAAGCTATCCTTCACATATCATTGAGGAAATAAACAAACTCATCGTTCGTTCGTTCATCAACTTCCTCACATACATTTGTGAATCAGCCAAAAAAGGGATAGTCTCATTGATAAGAAAACAAACAAACCCAGAAAGCTAAGAAGGCATCATCATGCATCCACTATAAATATTCAAAGTTCATGCCCTTGAATGCAATTCACATAAAGTTAATTGCCATATTTTTCTGATACAAGAGATCATCAAACAAGAAGAAATGTCTTCTACACAAATGGATGGTTCCAATGTCCAACAACAATATGAAGATTTCAAGCCACAAATGGAAACCCAAGAAACTGCTGACGCTCATCTTCTTCTTATTCATCTTCCTGGTGTGTATCATTTTATCTTACATGATTGGCAAAGATACCAATCATTTCATTTTATAACAAATATTCGTGCATGAAACTATGTCTTGCATTGGTGCTCATCATCTTATATGAGATTTGGACCAAACAAGCAAATTTTAATTTTTAATTTTGTTTATTTTATGTTCATTAAAATAAAAATTAAATTTATTTAATAAATTTGTTTATCATTTATCTAAACAATCTAAATTTAATTTGGATAGTACAAATATAATATTAAAATTTTTACAAATTAACTATCGAGGTTTATTATGAACGGTTCAAATTTAAAATTGTTAGCTTGTAATTGTTTTCAAAAAATATTTCTTTTGGGAAGTGCAGATTATCTTAATTTTTAATATTATATTTACCAAAATAAAAATTACCATTAATAAATTTATTATTAAATATGGATTGTTTAGAGTGCATCTACATAGTTGACTCTTAAAAATTATAAAAAAATTAATATTAAATTAAACCATTAGATTAAATCTATTATGTCCAGAATGGTAATAAATAGAATTATTAAAATTAAAATAAATTAAAAATTAAAAAATTTAATCTAAGAGCCTGTTTCGATAACCTCAAGAGCATATTCAAACTACATTTAAGATGTATTTTTATCAAATCTAACAAATAGTTATATTCTTAAGTGAACTTTTGTCAAATATAAATTAAAAATCAAACACACTAAATAATTTAGATCTTGTCAGAAATGATGAAGCTCATCGCTTAATGATCACCAAAGCCAGACTAGCAAGAAACCTACCATTCAAGTTTCTTGGAAAAATTAAAAGTATTGATTTAAAAGAAAATGTTGGAGAGCTCCTAAGCAAAATCTAAATATTTTTAAACATCTAGAAAATTTGTCTGTCTATTGATGGGACAAATTACTTGATTGAACTTAAGAAAAATAGCAATCAAATATCACTAGAGTAAATTTATATCAGTCAAAGATCTCTAATTGTCAAAATTTGAATATATAATTGTTAATTTGAGTTAATATTTTATCAACAAATATTTATTTGAGTTTTAAAAATGACTAATTTTAAATTAACAATAAGTTATTTGGATCTTTTTTCATCTAAATTTTGATAATAATTAGTATTTAAGTGATATAAATTTGTTTTAGCAGTCCTTCATTGCTATTTTCCCTTAAATTTACGTTATTGTTGTCTATATAGTTACTTCAAAAGATTAAAATAAGCATTTAAATTTTAGAAGTGGTGTATATTATTATAATAAAAATAGCAACAAATTGTCATTGCTTTTTAAAGTTACCTCCTATTAAACTTAATCTATTTTAATTATCTTTAATTTATTTCTTATATGATCTATATAAAATAATATGGACATTTGTGAAAATGAAAAATTTAATATTATTGACTCCTTTTATTGTAAAATATCATATATTTTAGACTAACACTAATTAATAAAAAAATGTCTTATATTTTAGATAGAATGCAATATAGGGCCCATTTGTTAAAGATTAAAAAACAAGTGATTTTTAAGTAGTTTAGAGATTTTATAAAAAGAGATTTATTTTATAGCAATTTTATAAAAAAAATAGACATTATTTTATATTTGATTATAATAAAAAAATTGATTATTTTTATATTTTATGATACCTTCCTTGATTTTTTATAAAAATAATTTATTATTATATTATTTTAAAATTTTATGATATCTTCACATATCTCATCTCTTTAAAACATTCTCTTTCATTTACCACATTAGATTATTTTTAAAAGCTACTCAAAGTAATTTCTTAAAATAATCAGATATCTACTTTTTTTTTTTAGATTCTAATTATTTTTAAAAGTTTAAACTAACAACATAACAACTCATAAAATAATTTTTTTCAAAAAATAAGTGATTTTTTTATGAAATATGTTAAAATATAGTTGTTCATAAATTATAAATTATAAATAATTTAACTTGTTGACAATAACCCGTCGTTTTGCCCAAAAAAAAAAAAAAAAGAACCCATCATTCAAGTTTCTTCTGGGAGAATTGATTTTTTTTTTTAAAAAAAGGAGAAATAATATGAGAAATCTAAGTATTTCTGTTTGGAAATGAGAGAGAGAGAACTAAGGAAACATTTTCAATGCTCAACAGGGTGGTCATCAACACGATAAAATTTAGATCATTCCGGTTGAATTATTTGGATGATTCGGATTTAAAATTTAAAATTTATTTTTTATTTTATATTTATTAAAATAAAAAAATTCTAAAAAATTAATTTTAATAAATTTGTTTATTATCAACAGGACAACCTAGATGTAATTTAGATTATTCAAATATAATATTAAATTTTTTTATAGTTTTATAAATTGATTACCCAAATTTATTTTAGACGGTCTAGATCTCATTAGAATGATGGTGTTTATCCTCCAATGAGCATTGAAGTTGGTTAGTTGGACCTGAGAGAGAAGAGGTTTGGTGGGTTTTTTATTTACAAACCAATATTAAAAACATTTTGGCTACTATATTTTTACACCATTAGACCCTTTTTTATTGTTAAAAAAAGGACATTATCCAGTAACTATATATGGAAAAGAGATATAATTAGACATAATTTTAATTAACTGAGGCAACTTTTAATTAAATTAACAATTTTTTTTGCACACAAACTACCAATAAATAATTTTTTCCTGCAGGTTTTACTAGACAAGAAGTTGGTGCAAACTATGAAGCAGCTTATAGGAGAATTAGGGTTTTTGGTGAAAAATACTTGAAAATAATAAGCGTCAACGCTTCAGTGTAGAGTATATAGTTCCAGAAACTTGTGATGGTGATAGCCTTGAGGGAAAATTTGAAGACGGCGCAAAAATTACCATTAC